ACACCATTCAAACCTCTCCCTCCAACATTGAATCATTCTCTTACAACGTTACTATGACAACGGACGTTGACATAACCTAAAATCATATGTAAACATCATGTGTGTGTGTGTTTTGTGAACATACTCTTACATATTTAGCTAAAAAACATGTGAAACCATTTGGAAGAAATGAAAAATAAAACATGGATTAAGCTAATCTCTTCCCTCATAGCAGAAAAGAATTCAGTTTTGAGAAACGGATGAAGGTCAGACTTTAGTAGTGATGAATCGATGATCAGTTGCAATTCTACGAATGTGATTCAAGCCAAATATTTTACGAGCAATCAGTCAGTCCCATTAAGTATCATAGTAAGCAGTGAAATGCTGCTAATTATCGGAGTTCTTCGATGAAGTAATCAGTACGATGGGCAGTTAGATTCCACTGCATTGGGTGAATCGTCACTGCGCTCTCCTTGTAACCTGAAGGTCATAGTTTCGTTCCTTATCGGTCGGGTGATGGGTGCATAATGTTGAAGAGTTTCAAGCCAGCACCGAACAGCTATACAATACTCAGTCAAATGCCTGCAAACCAACACTTGAAGATTAATCTACTACTCAGTGCTGAATGACAATAGAATGGCATTCTGAAGTACAGTATTTTATATGAGTAATTAGAGAGGAACTTGTGTTTACAAGGGGTAGTAGTAGTACCTGTAGTACTGCTACAGGTAGTAGTAGAAATGATTTCGTTTTATTAATAATAATTGCCTTATTCCAAACGGTAGATTTGATACAGTATAAGGTCGTTAGCTTCACACTGAGTCCTCCTTCTTTTGTAGGCTTAGAACCTGCTGGTAAACTACATGAGCATTCCATACACTGTGGTCAGAGTAATTTCACAGAACGGTATAGAGGTTTATCGATTGGTCCGTTGATAAAAACTACATCCAATATTTAACAAATGTACGTTTAAGGCACTCGAAAGTACCTCATTTTGAATCAATAGTGACTATTTCTGTTTAGCTGACATCTTCACTAACTGGTACATCAAACGTGTTGAGTTACCTGACAGACAGGGAACAAAAGTACTCGTCTTATTATCTGACTATTTGGACAGTCCTAAATGTGGGAATGCTGGTTTGCTACTAATCAATCTAAAGTTTTGATTCAGTCTTACTGATTGACCTACTTTCTCAAATTTAGTCTAATCCGTGAGTACCTTTTGATTCAGCACCTCTAAGAAGCAGACACGTGTTACTGGTTACTCTCCAGCTGAGACAAATCGCAGGTTCATAACGTTCAGTTATAACATGTCTGAATACAAAACTTGGTGACCTGGGTTTTAATTCTCCGTAAATAACATTCATTCTCTAGTGGTTTTAAATATTCGTTGAAGTTATGTGCATGCGAATAAGAATGAAAATGAGGTTGACAGTTTCGTCCCAATTCCTTCCAAGTGTCTAACACCAACTTCCTATATTCCAACAAAATTCACAGTCTAAAATCAGTCTTTAGTTAATCGTTGCCTATTTGATGGGTCTCTTGAAGCTGTACTCAGGAGTCGTGGCCAGTTAGGGTCATAGGAAAATAGATAGTCATCAAT